TCCTGAGTAGCTGGGATTACAGGCTCGGGCCACCAGGTCCATGCAATTTTTTGAATCTTTAGTAGAGATGGGGTTTCACTGTGTTGGCCAGGCAGGTCTCAAACTCCTGACCTCAAGTGAGCTGCCCACCTAAGCCTCCCAAAGTGCTGGGATTACAGGTATGAGCCACTGTGCTCGCCTGTCTTTTTCCTTTTTGAGGATCTTGGGTTTTTTGGTTTGGGTTTTGACAGGAACCTAAGAAGACTAAAGCTGGTGCTTATAGTACAAGTGATGGTGATGACTCAGTGAGTGTTGTGAGTGGGGTTGGGGAGGGAATCATTGGGGACAGGGAGGGACACTTTCCAGGAGCATGCAGAGTTCTGCCAAGGATATGTGAGGGCAAGATGCAAAGATGTATTATATCCAGACCTCTAGACTTCACATATAACATCCGGAGCACAAAGATACAATTTTATAAAGGAGAACATGCTTGTTTTGATTAACAAAATGTTCTATATAGCCAGATATTTTGTGTATGGGCAAAGTGGAAATTTTCCCAATTTATTTACCTCTACATTTAGACATAAATTTCTAAATATTCTTATCTTATTTTGTTAAATTCAGATTTATCATTTATGAATAAGCCTAAATTTATTCTCTATGAATATACCTAAAATTCCTTAAATTTGTTTACATGCATGGACTACATTTTACCACTCTATATGAACAGATGACTTGCAATTTAATAGTTCTATTGTTATTTTTAAGTAAATCTCAATAAATCCCCCTGATGTTAGTAGACTAAAATTTTGGGAATAAGTTTATGTCTACCCCATCTGTAAACTTCATGATTTGAAAAGTCATTATCTTATTTCTCAGCTTTTATCTTTCCAGTTTAAGGAGCTCTCATTTGTAATCTGTCATTATCCAGAAGGCTCTCCATATCCTTGATCAAGAGTAGAAAGGTTAAGCTTCACTTTCTAATTCAGGACCTGAAGGAATTTGATAAGAGGCAGCCAAAGTCAGGAATCATTAATCACTATCATGTAAGAAAAATTGAGAAAAGTATCAAGAAATGCAGCATTGTCATTTGGGACCCTACTTTCTTTTTTCCTGTCCTACTTTTCTTTCAAATTTGAACAACATAGGTTAAGATAATTAAGTTTTAAAAAAGTCTTGAGTTACAAAGGCTTATGATAAAAATTTGTATTTGAAATAATATAGTCTCAAAATTATACTTTAATAAAATGTTATTAATAAACTTGGAGTCAAATTCTTCTTCTTCTGGCCAAATAAGAGTCATACAAATAATGTGGAAAATATGGAATTTTCTTATATTCCTCTGTGACTCTTCATATTGCTTCCTATCTGCATCCTCCAACCAACAAAAAACATAACCATCAAACTAGGTGTAGTATTTGTGTAATATTTTTCATATGTAGGTTTTGAGAGAAAAATCTTTAGAATTCATTTTTATATTTTTATGGAAGTAAGTCATGGGTTATAAGCGATCTGCAATCAGATAGGAATGAGTCGTTTTGGGGTCAAATGAGGAAAGGAAGAGAGATAAATAGTGTTAGAGAGAAAGAGCAAGAAGGAGAGCAAAAAAGATTTAAAGAGATTCTTCAAGGGAAATAGCACCTATGTTGGATGTATTGTTCTGAGAGATGCAGGCAATGGGAGATTATGAATGGCAGGTTGTTGACAATTATGGATGTGGAGCTCATCCAAGTAGAGTGTGGGATGAGGATAGGATAAAATATAGGAGTAATTTTAGAAGCACTAAATAAGCTGTCCCCAACCTTTTTGGCACCAGGTAGCACTTTTGTGGATGACAATTTTTCCATGGATGGCAGGGGGAAGATTCTTTTGGCTTTGGAATGAACCTGTCCCACCATACATTATCAGACATTCTCATAAGAAGCATGCAACCTAGATCCCTTGCATACACAGTTCACAGTAGGGTTCACACTTCTATGAGAATATAATGCTCCTGCTGATCTGACAGGAGGCAGAGCTTAGGCAGTAATGCTCCCTAGCCTGCTGCTCACCTCCTGCTGTGCTGCCAGGTTCCTAACAGGCCACAGACTGGTACTGGTCCATGACCCAGGGGTTGAGGACCCCTGATCTAAATAGTACAAACTCAATCTGGACCTATAGATAGAAAGACACTGACGGATAGCTGGGAAAATGGCCAACACTAAATGTTCATAACAGTTTTGCATACTTATTGAGTAAGTACTCAATATTCTAGTGGAGAGAAGATATTTTTGACAATTGCCAAGGAAAGAAAATATGATTATCTCTTTGTAAATAAATGTGTCTACCTTTTCTTTAACTTACTTGTACAAAGGCTGTGCAGTATCTCTCATACTGCTTGTATTCCAATCATTCTTTTAGGTTTCAGGTTAATTTTGAAGTGAGAGGATATAATTTGAACACTTTCAAGCATCTAACAATACTGCTTGGCATTTATTGGTCTCTTGTAATTCATTTCTTTTCATAACCACCATTGATAGCTGAAGAAAATCTTTGTTCTTTTATTCATATATTTTAATGGTTATTCGCATTGAATTATTTTGTATAACCACATGATTTTGTGAAAAGAATTAATATAATTATATTCACAAATGTTATTGTGAAGTTTTTATATAAGGTAAATAAATGAAATCTGAAAACAGATATAAACTCTGCATGATTACCTTAAACTCTTTGTAAAGTTTCTTCTCTTAAATTTAGGAACATAATCCTGCTGACCAAATGTTGGGGATAATTTTTTGAGATTTTAAAAGTGTAAGCTTTCTAAGGCTTAAAAATGATGAATTTGGCTACAACAAAAATAACAGTATATATTGAACAAAAATTCCACCGATAAATCTGGCAGATTATGACATGAAGAATGGACTTTTGCAATGTTTAAAATTAACAAGTTACTAATATGTAGGCTATAAAAAACAACCTCCCATGTCACCAAAAGGAGTGAAGATCCAAGAGAAAAATGAAAAAAGAAGTCTGAATGACTGACAAGTATATAAAGAATTTCTTTAGCTCATTAAAGAAGTGCAAATTAAATAAGTTAAGCAATAGCAGTAATTACTTCATAATGTGTCAAGTATTGGAAAGATGGATAATGGTAATTACTCTTGGAGGTGTTGATAGTTAAGAGCTCTGAACTGGAAATGTCCATTAATGAGGTTATATACCAGATCAACCTGATTGAACTTAATAAAATCATGTATTTGCATCACCTAAGGCCCTGTATTGCACTCCTGGGTATTTAGCTTTGAAATGTTCTCACATAGGTCCATGAGGTGGTGTGTGAAAGGATGTTTAGTATAGCCTTATTTATGGCAGCTGGGAATTGAGGGTGACTCTGGGTATCAATCATTAAAGTAATGGATCAGTAAAGTGCTGCAAATCTGTAATATTGGACACTTAGCAGCAACAGGAAACAAAAATTTAATTATTTATGGAACAATATAAATCTAAAAAATGTTGATGAATAATAAAAGTAGTCAACAAAACAAATTTGGAAAACATTAACATTTATGTAAATTTGAAACCATACTTCCTCTTCTCACAACAACTACATATATTATAGGACAAATTCATAGATAAGGATATACATTGGTGTGGGTACCTATGGGGAAGGAGGACAAGGGAAGAAAGAGACAAAACTAAGCTTAAAATGCATGAAACAGAAGAGAATAGAAAAGGTGTCTTTACTGGATGTGTGAAGTACAATATATTACTAATAGAAAGATATGATAAGCTCTCTAGTATTTTTCAGGATTAAAGGATTGATTGATTGATTAATTGACTGATTTTTGAGATGGAATCTCATTCGGTTGCCAGGCTGGAGTGCAGTGGTGCGATCTCGGTTCACTACAACCTCTGCCTCCTGGGTTCAAGTGGTTCTCCTGCCTCAGCCTCCTGAGTAGCTGGGATTACAGGTGCATGCTACTATACCCAGCTAATTTTTGTATTTTTAGTAGAGAGGGGGTTTCATCATGTTGGCCAGGATGGTCTTGAACTCTTGATCAAAGAGTTTTTGCTCTTGGACCTCGTGATCCACCCACATTGGTCTCCCAAAGTTAAATGACTTTTTACAAAGTATTTTTCTTAATACATGACCATACTTGAATAAATCAATAAATCATAAAACATAAATTACAGCATGTTTAAATGCCTGCATTAGAAAATATAATATTCTACCTTTTTGTAAGTCCTATATGTGGGACTGATCTTTCACTTTACATTCAACAGTTCGTACAGCAAAAGTGTTTTAAATCATAGTCAGTGTGAAGGAACAGATATGGTGGAAAAATTCATCTTTTTAAACAAAAGATTAGTAAAAGATGACTGATCCTTAGATGCATATTAAACTTAGAGTTAGAACTAGATGACCAATGACAAAAAAATAATGCAATGAGTCCAGTCAAAAGTCAGATGAAAAACTTAACACCTCTATAATTTCCACCCAACCTCTTGAAGCACAGTGTCTCTCTTTCTTTTTTTTAAATGGCAGTGAGGTTCTCACACATTCATTTACACTGCAATCAATATTTATTGTTAATACTCTTTATATTTAGTTTCTGAAACTTCCTAGTAATCACTATAATGTGATTTTAAGTTACTGCCTAAGGCAATACAGATTTTGTCATAAATAAGAAATTAGCTATGGCAAAAAGAACAGCATATTAACATGCTTTGGGCAACTGTTCTAGTTTTTGATTTTCTTTTAAATCTCCATAGTTGTTACTCTCTGCCGTTATTACACATTTTGTAGGCAACTTGTCAAGTTTTGGTTGTAGCTGTGTTTCCTCTTTCTCATGAATGAGAATTTTCATATCCTCAAGTTACTAAAGAGAATGGTGGAAAAAAAAGAAACCGAACACATTTGGCTTCCCAAATTGTAGAGTCCAGAACTAAATTAGATGGAAGCTGGGGTGAGGGAAGTTGGCTTTTTTTTGACAATGTAAAGTTGAATATATGATAGTTGATGTAATTATGTTTTTCAGAACCTGTAATATTTTTGTGCTATGCCAGAGATTGACTGAAACAACTATAGAATCTGATAGCTTCTTTAGGACCAAGGAGCAAGATGGTGACATAAGAATGCTATCAATCTGCTCCCTCTTCTCTACCTCCCTCCAACAATTACGGTGTGTATTATTTTCTCTCTCACTTCATTTTAACTCCTACCTCCTCCTTAGTGTGATAACTATTCATATGCACAACACATATTGTTTAAGAAAAAAGCTTAATGCACTGAAGCTTTCAGTGTTTGAAACTGAACAAAATTATACTCATGCAATTTTTTCTACTTTGGGCATTATTGTCTTTTCTCTTAGACAACAGTCAGCACAGACTAAAATGCAGATGAAGCTAATGGAGAATATCTTAGTATATTCATGTGGCTATAATAAAAATATCATGAATTGGGTGACTTGTAGACAAGAGAAAATTATTTTTTACAGTTATAGAGGCTGGAAAATCAAAGATGAAGGCTTCAGGAGATTCAGTGTCAGGCAAGGGTTCTCTGTTTCATAGATGACACCTTCTCACTATGTCTTTAAGGGGTGAAAGTGACTAGTTAGATCTCAGGAGTCTCTTTTACAATGACACTAATTCCATTCATGAAGGCAGAGCCCTAATGACCTGTTCACTTCCTCAAGACCCCACCTTCTAATGCTGTCACAATGAGGGTTAGGTTTCACTATGAATTTGAGGGACACAAAAATTTTTAGACCATAGAAGACAGCAAACGTTTCAAGAAAATGAGGGAAAAAGTCAGCATTGGTTAATATTTCAAAATACTATGACATTTTAGCAAATCCTGGTAGCTATCTTCTGTGAGTCCCAACACCTGTTTTGCCCTTCTTATATATAGTAATGGAATATTAAGCTGTGAGCTTGTCTGATTAGCTAAATAATACATTTCTCAGCCCTTTTGCAGCCAGTGCAGCCATGGAACTCAGTTCTGTCAATTACAGATGCATAAAATGATAAATTTACATGCCAGGGTAAGCCCTTAAGGGAAGGGTTGTGCTCCTTCTGTCCCTTCAGGTTTCCATTTTGTGGAACAAATGCAAGTCATTGTGACATGACACAACAGCAAGTCATCTTATCCTAGGGTCAAGTGGAGAAGAGAAAATGGTTCTAGCCAGAGCAATCAGGCAAGAAAAAGAAATAAAGGTATTCAGTTAGGAAAAGAGGAAATAAAATTGTGTCTATTTGGAAAGTGGACACAACAGCAAGTCATCTGGAACCCTATAGATGAGGGCAATAGCCTCTTTGCAGCAGCACAACACAACAAAAGAAGCTGTTGTGTCAGCCCAGTGACCATCACAATGACAATTAAATTTCAACATGAGTTTTAGAAGGGACAAACATTCAAACAACAGCATTCTACTCACTGCTCCAAAACCTCCTGTCGATTAACAAACAATATCATTTATTCTAACCCAATAGCTGCTTAAGGCTGAATTCATTCTGGCACCAGCTCAAAAGTCCAAAGTCTCATCTAAATCAAATATGGGTGAGACTTAAGGCATGACATAATGCTGAGCTTAAGCTCCTACTGTAAGATCAGAAAGCTATACATTTATATATCACTTAAGTCAACTGTTATTCTGGACAACCTAGCTATAAAATGATTTTTATATTAATCCTACAATTTGGAAAACACTATTAAATAATCTTGATCAAAACTTGCACATTGTCTTAGTTTGCTTTGTTTTGCTATAACAGAATACCACAGATTGAGTAATTTATAATAAACAGAAAATGATTGACTCATGGTTCTAGAGACTGTGGAGTCTAAGATGAAGAGGCCAGTATCTTGCAAGGGCCTTTTTGCTGCATCATTTTATGGTAGATGGGAACAAAGAGGGTGAGATAGAGAGCAAGAAAGGGAGAACCCACTTCCAGGATAAGGCATTAGTTCATTCATGAAGATGCAGCCATCATGACCCAAATAGTTCTTAAAGGCCCCACCTCCCAATACCATCACAATGGCAATTAAATTTTAACATGAGTTTTGGAAGAAACAAACATTCAAATCATGGGACACAGTTCATTGCACTTTCAAATTATCATTTAGGTTTAATTAATCTTGTATATGGCTTTATTCATTTGATGCAGATTCTTAATAGATTAAAATTCGGAAAGTGATACATTTTGATTCTTTTATAAATTCAAGTTAAGAAAATCAGAAGATAACTACCGTTATTACAATTATTTTATATTGTCCTAAAATTTTAGTTAATGCATGAACAAGAAATATTAAGAATTAAAACCTATGGTAACCAAAAAACAATTGTTTTTATTCGAAGATTTTAAGATGGCCTAAGTGGAAAACTCAAGGGAATAGAATGAAAATCTATTTAAAGTAACAAAAGACTTCATTAAGATGTTTGTTAACCAACTGAATACAGAACAATTAATAGCTTGTATATGTCAACAGTAATTCATTTAGAAATCTTACAGAAATAAGACTTCTTTCATGAAAGGAATAAAACTCTAGCAAAGAAACTTCTAAACATTATTAGGAAATAAAGAGGAAATTGAAATAATGTATGAGGCAGATGATGACATTTTTGAATGAAATGACTGAATATTATTTACACGTCAATTTTCCCACAAGTAATGTCTGTTTTGATTTAATTCCTCTGAAATTCCTAATGGATGTTTTGGAACTTTAAAAGTTCCATTTTATTTTGTATAAGAATAAAATAGTTTTTTCTTTTCTTTTTTGCTTCAAACATTTCTGTTTTAGGTTCAAACTTATAGAATTATATTTTAAGAATTCTGAAATTAGCTTTAGATTACCTATTCAAGGAAACTGGCTTATTGATTGCTCATAATATGGTGGCAGCAGTAGGGTTTAAAGACCATGCATGAGTGTAAGTCTTATCTTAGGGTCAAGTGGAGAAGAGGAAATGGTTCTAGCCAGAGCAATCAGGCAAGAAAAAGAAATAAAGGGTATTCAATTAGGAAAAGAGGAAGTCAAATTGTCTCTATTTTCAGATGACATGATTATATGTTTAGAAGACCCCATTGTCTCAGCCCAAAATCTCCTGAAATTGACAAGCAACTTCAGTAAAGTTTCAGGATACAAAATCAATGTGCAGAAATCACAAGGATTCCTATATACCAATAGTAGACTTAAAGAGAGCCAAATCAAGAAAAAACTGCCATTCACAATTGCTACAAAGAGAATAAAATACCTAGGAATAAAACTGACAGGATTTAAAGGACTTTTTTTTTTTTTTTTTTTTTTTTTTTTAAGACGGGTTTTCACCATGTTGGTCAGGCTGGTCTTGAACTCCTGACCTCAGGTGATCCACATGCCTTGGCCTCCAAAGTGCTTGGATTATAGGCATGAGCCACTGCACCTGGCCTAAAGTACCTCTTTAAGGAGAACTACAAACCACTGCTCAAGAAAATAAGAGAGGACACAAACAGATGGAAAAACATTTGATGCTCATGGTTAGAAAGAATCAATATTGTGAAAATGGCCATACTGCCCAAAGCAATTTATAGATTCAACACTGACCCCATCAAGCTACCTATGATCCCCTTCACAGAACCAGAAAAATACCACCTTAAACTTCATATGGAACCAAAAGAGAGTCCACATAGCCAAGTCAATTCTAAGCAAAAAGAACAAAGCTGGAGGCATCATGTTACCCGACTTTAAACTATACTACAAGGCTACAGTAATCAAAATAGCATGGCACAGGCACCAAAGCAGAGATATAGACCAGAGATATGGAACAGAACAGAGGCCTTGGAGGCAACACCACACATCTATAACCATCTGATCTTTGACACACATGACAAAAACAAACAATGGGGAAAGGAATCCCTGTTTAATAAATGATGTTGGGAAAACTGGCTAGCCATGTGCAGAAAGCAGAAACTGGACTCCTTCCTGACACCTCTCACTAAAATTAACTCCAGATGGATTAAAGACTTAAACATAAGACCTAACACCATAAAAACCCTAGAAGAAAACCAAGGCAAAACCATTCAGGCATAGGCTTAGGCAAGGACTTCATGACTAAAACACCAAAAGCATTGGCAACAAAAGCCAAAATAGACAAATGGGATCTAATTAAACTCCAGAGCTTCTGCACAGCAAAAGAAAGAATCATTAGAGTGAACCAGCAACCAAGAGAATGGGAAAAAATTTTTGCAATCTACCTATTTGACAAAGGGTTAATATCCAGAATCTACAAAGAACTAAAACAGATTTACAAGAAAAAAAAAAAAAAAACCCATTCTAAAGTGGGCAAAGGATGTGAATAGACACTTTTCAAAAAATACATATATGAGGCCAAGAAACATATGAAAAAATGCTCATCATCACTGTCATTAATGAAATACCAATCAAAACCACATTGAGATATCATCTCACACCAGTTAGAATGGCAATCATTAAAAAATCTGGATGCTGGAGAGGATCTGGATAACCAGGAACACTTTTACACTATTGGTGGGAGTGTAAATTAGTTCAACCATTGTGGAAGACAGTGTGGCAATTCCTCAAGGACCTAGAAATAGAAATTCCATTTGACCCAGCAATCCCATTACTGGGTATATATATCCAAAGGAATATCAATCCTTCTGTTATAAAGACACATATACACGTGTGTTCACTGGGGCACTGTTTACAATAGCAAAGACCTGGAACCAACCCAAATGCCCATCAATGATAGACTGGACAAGGAAAATGTGGCACATATCCACCATGGAATACTATGCAACCATAAACAATGATGAGTTCCTGTCCTTTGTACGGACATGGATGAATCTGGAAACCATAATTTTCAGCAAACTGACACAAGAACAGAAAACCAAACACCACATGGTCTCACTCATAGGCGGGTGTTGAACAATGAGAACACATGGACACAGGGAGGGGAGTATCACACACTGGGGTCTGTTGGGGGGTTCTAGTGGAGGGACACCAGAGGGTAGGGAGTTGGGGAGGGATAACGTGGGAAGAAATGGCCGATATGGGTGATGGTGATGGAGGCAGCAACCACATTGCCATGTATGTATGTATGCAACAATCCTGCATGATCTGCATATGTACCCCAGAACCTAAAGTGCAATAAAATTAAAAAAAAGAAAAACTAAACTAAAACAACAGTTA